GTTTCTCAATGTGGAAAGGTAGAGATGTTTGAATCTGCAGCCTTCCTATTGCTTCGATAAACAACGAGAAACGTATTTCATGCTAACTGTTTAATCAGGATGTAATGCACTCGCGAGTCGGTCGGGTCTTGAAGGACGACAAGGGAGGTCCCCGGTCACATTCGCGAAGGTGGACCTCCTTTTCAAAAGCAACTCTGGATTGTGAAATTCCAGGGGATTCTCCATTTCAATTCACCGAAATTCGTAAGTAAAGAACATTTCCCCGATCAAATAAATCAGAAGTTAAGTCATTTGCTACATATGGTTCCGATCTCATATTGATAGAATCCACGACGAGGAGAATAAGGAAGAATGGCAAGGATATGGTCTATGCAGTATTCGCTACAAACAGGAACAGTCTGGCTGCTTCTGCAATCTGTGCCTACTCTTTCGACGATATCAGGAAGGCTTTCAATGGACCCTTCATGGGTAAATACAGTCCGAAGTCAGAATGGATCAAAGTTTCCGACTACGAGGTTCGTTTAACGTCCAATCGTCTGAAACAAATTGAGTTCTATACATTTCTCGAAGGAAAATACTAGTAGAAGATACCGTTATTCTCATCAGGTGCCGAATCCCCGACCTGGTAGCACTCTGGTCAAAGAAAGTAGGCAAATATCCGAAGCCGCTGTCAATTTTATCATGATGTATCCATTCATGTATGATCACGTTCAGCCAATCTATCAACAGCCCATCTTCGTCTTTTCTCAAGACAAAAATAAGTGAGTACTCCACTGCTTTTAATTTCATGGAGGAGAATTTTCATCGCTGACACTTCGATGCATTCCAATATCCAGTGCTCGATTGAGCCGAATCGTCGTCGATGAGGATATTACAGGAGTGGATGGGAGCACCCATGATGTCATCTTCATGGGAACAGGTGAAGGAAAAACCAATTGGAACGGGAATTCAAATTCCCTGCTCCTTCGCTTGGTACTTCTGCTGAACGTTTGAACCCTATTATGATTGCAGATGACGGAAGAGTGCTGAAAGTAATCTATAATGAAGATGACGCAGCAGAGAAAGTGAACGCAGTCGTATTAGAGGACTTGGAAGTACTGGGTAATGCAAAAAGGGTGGTAAATATGTATCGCTATCGAGAAGAGGGGAAACCTGCAAAGATCGTTGTCATTGGAGACGAACAGATCAAGGCCTTGCCTGTTCATCGCTGCAATCTCGTCAAGTCCTGCAGGTGAGTCCTAGCATCAGCGTGGTTTTCACGTTCTCATCTCCACCGGCATCCAAAAATCCTCTTGGTTCTTCTTTTCTATTCGTAATGCAGGGACTGTGTGAAACTTCAAGACCCTTACTGTGCATGGGACACGATGGGCAAAGATCATTGCTTTAATGTGGACAGTGGAAGCTATGAAAACAAACACTCTTGCTACGTCCAAGATGTCCGTTCTGGCAAAAGCTCCCTGTGCCCACAATTAATATCGCATTTAGGGGATGAGGATGGGAGCAATGGAACAATGCTTAGTGGCATCTCAGGTGAGTCCACAGTTCTCGCTGTTTGCCCCGTACCTTGGGGAATCCATTCATATGAGTTATTTCTGGTCCCACAGGGGATTCCCTGCAGGCAAACGGACTCCAACGTTATCCTACCGTCCGTAAGTTTCTCGTATCTTATTCTCTTATTTGTTCGATAGCGCTTTTTCTTTCAATAGCATATATTTTCCTCTGTCTTCATTCTCATTTTGTAGAATCCTTCTGTCAGCGATTCTATTTTAATTTTCCGGTATTTTGGCACATTTACAACAGACTTCGATAGAATTTCTGACGTCAAAAGTCGGACAAGGGACAAGAAGGGACGCAATGCTATATGTTAATGAGAATGGCATGAGCTTCCACCTGGAAGTTACATGAATTTCAAGGCATTCGAGTGAAGATTTTAAGGAGGCATCGACATTAAGTAGATGTGCCTGTTTTTTACTCGTAGGGGAAAACCTTTCGTCCCCTCCCTTGGAGTCTGATGAATCAGCAACATCGCATAAAAATGGTGAGCAGGGTCATATCATACTTGATTGCTGTAGGAAGAGACCATTAATTACATTAGCTTGACTTCTGCTTAAAATTTCGCATGTGAAAACATTTTATTTTTTTCCTTAGGACAGCTTACTACTAGTGCAACCGTAACCACTGAGGGAAGTTTGGATGAAAATGATAAGATTTTTATCACGGCAGTTGTTTGCTCTGTCGTCAGTCTCATTGCGGGGTTCCTAGTCGGGTCCCATTTCGCAAGAAAATGCAGACCTGCAAAATGAAAATTCCCCGCGCTGGAAAATCTCAGAACCAATTATTCTGAGAATTGAGTCAAGGAGGGTCACAATGACAATTTCATGAGAGTCTGCAAAAGACGATAATATTCAAGGTTCAAGGACCAATCCTTCATGGAAGTCTCAGACCTCTGGACATGGAAATGAATAGGAAATCCATATATGGACTCAATTTCGCTTCTACTTTGCCATTTTTCATGTGCAGGAAATGTGTTTCACTCTGACCTCTTTTTGTGTGGAAGAATTGTTCAGAAAATGCTAATCAAGCAATATATATCGTGCATCAATTTGAGATTTGTCCTTTGAATTTTTTGCAAAACTTTAAACTTTTCATCGCCTCATATGAGAGATTTCTCCAATGGTGAACCATTTGTGATGGAAAATGAAGGGATAATCTTTCAATGAAAGTTGCTTTCAACCTGACTTGTCTTGCTTTATTTATTTTCCCGCTTTCTCTCCAAGGTCATCACATTTCAATTGTCAGTCATTACAAGGCACTTTCAACCGAAAATGGAAGTTTTTCTACTGAAGAGTGACTCTGATGAGATTTGCAAGTTTCAGTCTCTTTTACTGCATGTGGGGCACCTTATATACGGAGAAAGAGTACTTCATGTGAACAAATGGCGTTAGAAGTGAAAAAGCGTTAGAACTTTTGAAAATAGATTGACAAGGAGTGTACTTCTACAACCGCACTCAGGTGGGAAGAGTGGGAGAAAGGTACGGAGGAGATAAGAAACTCGTTAAGGTTACAATTCACAGGCGGCTACTTCGTCAAATATCCATCTAGATTCTAGGCAGTGCGCGGAGAGAACAATAATTGGGGTGTAAAGACTGCAGATATTCACCGCCGCCTGTACGTTTTTTTGGTGACGCCTGCGTTGATGACAGCATTCAGACGATTCAGTCGCTTCATATATGGGGAGACAAGTGTTAAAGATAAGGCGCACTCTAGAGGACACATCACTGCCACCACTGACAAGAAGATCAGGAAAGTGGAGGAACGATAGGTGTATCACCACTCGGGTGCTATACTAATTGATGGACCGGACCTGGCGCCGTCCGACTACCACCTGAAGACATCACTTCGAGAATTATAAGCATGCAAAGAATGCGATTTGAAGGTGGCTTTGTCACCAGAGCAAGAGCTTCTATCGGGATGGAATTATTGCCCTTGTAAAACGGTTGCAAAAGTGCATTGCTCGCAATGGTGACTATGTCGAAAAATAGGTGGTTCATTGCAAAGCCCTGATGGACATTCCTTGTTAATTTCATATAATTATCTTCAATACTGAGTGAGAAAAAAATAATCGTGCAGTACTTTCCAAGCGACACTCGTAGATAGAACGTGCACCACCTAACTCAAGCAGAGTTATTGGACAAAACTAGTTTTGGCTTTCTTTAGACAGTCGAACTCAGTTATACAAGTCTTGGTTATAATGAGACCTCTGTTGTGAAATCGGCAAATGAAGCCTGGTTCCAGCGTAATACTCATATGTTAATAGTATTATGCCTTTCATGTATCAGGAAACAGACATAGTGGTCCGCTTTACTCTAGTTTCTCCCATTTGCAATTGTTGGCTTTTTTGTGAGAAACGAAGCGTAGGACAACCTACTGCAGGCCTCCTTTAGGCAATATGTTTTCTCCAAGTTTCTTCGCCGATCCCACTTCCCTTGCCATGCCTTCTCCGAGACTGTTTCTCTGCTTTCTAGCGACACTCTTCAGTTAGTTCTTGACACCCCATTCGTCCTTCAGTTCCTTTATGTTATTTTTTTCGTACTATTTTTTTCCTCTGGGACCTTCTTCCGCTGTTTCTTCTATACCTTGAGTCTTTTTTTCCCTTTGTCTTGTTTCCAGTTTCTTTTTCCTTTTCTTATTGGACAACGTCCAGGGAACTGCTCCATATGAAATGAAATGAAATGACCCTTTATTAGCCTTGGTTCGGCCCGTCAGCACAAACACAAAAACAAAACAAAATATACTGGTGTCACAATTCTACAGGAGGCTGGTTTCTGATCCCCCTCATAAGGAAGCTGTTTTTGAATTTGGTAGTTCTCACTTTTGGGTATATAAACTGTT